ATTAGAAACGATTCGATAGTTCCAACAGAGAATACACAGGAAATATTCTTGTTGCAATATCTAAAATATTCGACTGTACATCCTGCTTAACGCCTAATTGCAAGAAAAATTCTAATCGCATCAAATTAAGAGATAAATTGCAACGAGCTCCAGTGTTTCCTTAAAAGTCCCACGACATCGACGTTTCCTAATTCACAGGCGTTTCAGAAGTAATATATTCGAGTCGCGACTCGTCTCGTGTCTTAATTGGATAGCAATCAGACGAATCCCCCGGCATTGTCTTCGCAGGCGAATTACATTGCTAGGCCGTTCCAGGAATGATTCAACCGGATCGAAACATCTATCCGCGCGCTATATCTTAGCTTGTCCTGTCCTAGATGCGGAAAGCCTCTCCGGGACAGTCCCTTTTTTGCGCGGATCCATTTCGAGAATTACACCCGTCTTTCGCATTTGCAAATTGTCCACCTTTCCCGCGGGAATTCGATTCCATCCCGGGGGAAACGCGAATGGTCTCCTCTGTCGAAGTTTCTCGTGCTCGAACAGACAAATCTTGGTTGACGTTGCGTGTTTGTTTATTATTCCTTGATGATTTGGTCGTTTAACGCTGGAAATACCGTATTAGTCGGAATGAACTGGTTTTTTGGTGTAGAAATTATACGATAAATGCATTGGATCGATTGGATCTTGAAAATAGTTTCGAATACTGTAATGAATGCTTGGAGATACTGGAACTAATTTGTTGTTACAATTTTTATAGGAATTATATATTAATTACATGAAATGCTCTTGCAAGTTAGACTCGTGAAGATTTTCAACATGATTCAACAAATATATCACTCAATTCATTCGAATTCAAAGTAAATGTTCCTCTGTAATCAACTGTTATACAATCGTCAATGTTAAACAAACTGTTATAACACATGCTCAGAATTTTTCTCTTTTTCCAATAAATTATTAATGACAAAGCAGCCGTATCGACCAGAGTTGAGAAATATAAAGATCAAGGGGTTAATGAAACTTGGAGGGCGGAGAGCACTTCGCACTCGAAAGTTCACTAGAAATATTCGATACTTCATGATGAGATTCTTTGAAAGTAACTAATTATATCAGTACCATATAATATTTTATATCAAAAATATGTTCCAATATGTATTCCATGGAAGAGTAAATCAAATGATTCGCCCTGTCTATATTAACATTTAGCCAACCGAGGGAGATCTCCCACTTTTCACTTAGCAACGTATTACCTTTTATTGTTTACCTTTTCTTTTGTTGTTTAGTAAGTCTTGAAGTGGGACTATTTGCAATTTATCAAGCACGGTTCTTATTTTTACAAAACACAGTTTCTAACCGAATTAATTGAATGACGATCGCCTGTGTTAACCCTCTATGGGCCGAATTTTTGTCCATTATCATAACAAAATCTGTATAGTACAAAGTTAATAAATATCCGCATATGAATACGAATTAACAATGCATTCAATAATTTCAATAATTCCATCAAACGAATATATTCTGTAACTTTCAAGTTGCAATGACACTAAACTTTCTCGCCTGAGCGTGTGAAAGTTTAAGTTAACTGATCACTTAATTTTATTCACCACTTTGAGTGCAAAATGAAGTAAATCAACAAGATGCCAATATACTGATACGTGACTTCAAAGTTACACGAGCCTACAGAGGGTTAAGAAATTATTTGTCCTCGTAAATACTGCCGTGTTCGATATTAGCTCCTCCGCATCGGTCAGGTTCGCCCAATCGCGACGCGGAGACCCGAAAAGAACAATATCGCGATGATAGTCGGCGTCAAAGCGCGCGTCGTCTCTTTTCCCCGGAGTCCCGCGCGACAAACGCCGAGAAGAACCGTTGGAATTCCAGCGGGACGATTTCACGTTGGCCTAATCGCGCCGGGAGCCTCTTTGACGGCCCGGCTCGACGTGCTATTCCGTTTTAGCGGCGTGCGACGCAAAGGGGGGGGAACGCCGACGCCCGTGAACTTCTCCGCCGCCCCCGCGACAGCCGATCGCAGTCGGTTCGGTGCGTCGACCGCATTGCAACTAGACGCGACGGTGCTCAGACTCGTCGAGGATGCAAATTGTGCGCCTAATAGGCTCACGTTTTACTCGGGCGACTCAGCTTGCATGTCGGCGGAGCCTTAGACCCCTCGCCGCGCACCCTTTCTTTCCCTTCTCGAATTCCGAGCGGCTTTTTGCTAGCCGCGCGTGCACGCCAGCTACTTTCGCCGATCTGTTACTCGATCGATGAACAGAACAGACGGATTTCCTGGGAAATCGCTGATTTTCGGGGATACAGGTCGCGGTGAAGGTAAAAACGCAGCAAAACAGCACGTGGGAAATGTTCTATTTGTGGGTCGCGCGACGTTTAAATCTACTGAGTCCTTTATGCACTTTTCGGGTTCTGCGCTGGATACAATCGGTACATCGATTCTAGATCGATTATCGAGGTATAATCGATTTCAACCGATCGATGAATGGTCGATTTTCGTCATGGTCCGCGCAGACCGCCACAAGGTGTTTGAGTCGTCGAAGGTAGATCACGCAGGATTCAACTCTCCCTCCGTAAGGTCGCGTGTGATACCAGAATAAGGGATTCTTTGAATCTAAAGGAACGTGTTGTTCTTTGTAAAGCGACTTTTCCATTTGTGAATGATAGATCTTCGATCGTAAAATATTGGGTAATTGAGAATCGGTGAAATTTTCGTAGAGATTGGAATTTGAGCAATCCTATCGCGTTGAACGCGTTAATCTCGAGTAGAAATCGGCGGGGACCGGAAAAGACGCGCGGAGAAGATATAGAAGGCTTCCAGAATTAAAGCAATTATGAATTTTATCTTGGCAACGCCGGGAAAACTTTCCCCGCGGAAACGAAGATGATCGCGCTTATCTGTCGCGCTCGACGGCGCGGAAACCCTCTGCCGACTGAGATTCCTTTCACGCGGCCACTTTTCTATCGCTGGTGGCTTCCGACCGACGCGCGCGATTATTCTTCCGAGTTTCGTGCAGTTTGAACGATGATGAACAATATTAGGCGAGCTTTGTTCAGTGGAACCGAGTTCGATCTTCTGCTTTTTAAACACTTCTGCCGCTTCGAGTATCGACAAATGATATTAGAGAACCTTTTCAGCGAAACTATCGCGTATGAAACGTGGGTAGTGACTTTTTAACTGCCAGTTTTCTGTTTTTTAAACAGTTTTGCCACTTCGAGTGTCGACAGATGATGGTAGAGAACCTTTTCAGCGAAACTGTCGCGTATGAAACGTGGGCAGTGACTTTTTAATTACCAATCTTCTGTTTTTTTAAAATTTTCGCCACTTCGAAGTACGAGTGACGCTGAAATTCGAGCGTCAAGATGGCCGATCGTCGCGCGCCGCGGCTAACAGCGTACTACGTGCGCGCGACGACGATAATTAGCGGCGGTAAAGATTCGCTGACTAATCATAAGAACATTATAATTCCTGTTGGTAATTAGATTCGGGCGTCGAGATAAGCCGGCTGAGAATGGAGCGTAATGGAAAACTTTCAGTCACGCGAAAGCACGATGCCCGTCTGTCTATGCCTGTGAACGACGGAAAGAAGGCATGAAGGATGAATAATTACAGGAATCGTAACAATGTGAGAATGGCGGTTGATAATTTTAATATTCATTCGGTTTATCGCGAAAGCCTGCGTATGTTGTATGCAGAAACGGATATTAGAGTAATCTCCGCGCCGGGCCCGTTATTTTATCGTTTCCACTGGCGACGTACAGAAATTGGAAACTTGACACTTTGGAGAACAGAAAAATTCAGTGGACATTGCGATTACGAAATGGTGAATTGTAATTAGTAAAAACGTAGTATTATCATTATCTTCAGTATATTTCCTCTTTCCATGATTCTTTCCTCTGTGGTTCCTTCCTAAAACTCCATTTCCAAAATTCCTTTTTTCTAAATGCTCACAATACAGCATTACAATTACAGAGACTAAAATAACTTTCCTCTCAAATTATCTCCATAATCTATTCCCAATATTCTCTCCCTGCAATCTCATCCATACCTCCATTTTCCTATAATTTCAACGACACATTGCATTCTAATTAACAATCTTCCTTAACCGTTTCAGTGCTGAGGAGCGCTACAGCACTATCAATCATCAATTATAATTTTATTACTAATAATAGTATCAATTATAATTTTCTTACTATATTCTTCAAGAAACAAATCAAAGTAAATTTATTTGAATGAATGTTATTTCTTGATATTTTCTTGTAACAACACAATATTTGTGAACTCATTAGATAACTACTCTTAATTTTTCTGCATACACACCCAATCACTTTTTTGGTAAATATCCACAAAAGTTTAGCATCCAAACGGTTAATCCTTCATTCTAATAACTCCTCGCCATTCCGACTTAACCTTTTAGGCACGACGCGCCACTATGGCGGCTCCGTCGCTACCAATATACCATAGATCATACCCAATTGTATTACTAATTATTAAAGTGAACTGTTAAAGTTAAATTATGTGTATCATATCTTTCAGAAAAATTATAATTTAATCATCAAAAACTTCATTCCAATGTACTCGCGTAGAAAACAGCATTGTCCGTGCAGAACTCTGCCGTACAGAGAAACAGCCCCGCGCAAAATTCAGCCGTGCCTAAGAGGTTAACACGCTCCAACACCGCACCACTCCCCAGCCAGCCGAAACAAACAGAATCTCTCCCCCACGATCTGTTCCCTGCTCGACTCGCGCGAAATTCAAACGAGCCTC